AGTTTTTACTGCGTTATCTTCGTAGATTTAATTTTAGTTACCTCATCTCGGTTTTCTTTTATCAAAACGTTCTCTTTGATTTTCTGTTCAATGTACACGATGGCTTGTATTAACTCATCGTTTTCATTACAGTTTGTATTTATTTTGCAGTATGTATGAATCAAAGAAGTTATACTTAATAATATATCTGACGAAGCATTTTCTTTATGCAGCAAATGAGAAATTTCAGAAACTACTTGATCATCCGGCCTGTAGTGTATAATAATATAATTAATATTTTTTGAAGTAATATTTTATAGCCTTATAGGTCRCAATTTAAATGAATAAAGAACTTTAAAAGTTTTCCTCTACGTTAAAGCATATTTTTAATGACTGTGTGATTTTATAAATTTATTTATTAATGCATACCTATTTATACCTACATGAAACAAAAAAATAAATTTAATTACCTGTCAAACATTGCCATTGCCATTAACCAGTCAGTTGAAATRGATTCACTGATGGTTCCATTCCACAATATGTCTTTCATAAGTATTACCGCAGACGTGGTACGAACATATGGTAAAGCGCTTTGTAGATGTTTGCTTGAAATAAAAAAAATTATAAAAATTGTTATAACGACAACCAAACATTTTAAATAGTGATATTAATTTTATTGTATAAAGTTCATGAAATTCCAAATTAATTTTAATAGAAACTTAAGTGTGACTTTTTGAATTGACATCAATAATTGCGTAAGTTCAATGATTCAAATGATTTCCTTTCTCTCTTGAAATCATTCACATGTTGAACCCAGTATACATTATATTATAATAATTCAATAACCCTAAAAAATAAAACTCCACAACTTTCAATTTTTTTTCATCTCTCTGGAGTTTTAAGTACTAGAAGTTTCATGTAATTTAAAGATATCTTTAATAATTATTTAAATTTAAATATAATATATATATACGTATGTGTGTGTGTAAAATATTTACATACCCATGAACTGTAATATGTGTAAACGTAAATGTATGCAATTTTGTTATTCCATAAAATAGCAATTTAATTTAGAGAATTATTTTGTTTATTAAATTAATACAAATGTACATACTTCATCTAGTTACCTATTCCATGTATACTAACTAGATATTTTATAAGCTAACAATAACGATTTAGTCAATATAAGTAAAATTATGATATGCATATTATAGATTTTACTTATTATTTGTACTCACTCAGAAAACAAACTACAAACAATGTATATATTAAAATACGATAAGGTATAAATATTCACTTTGAAAAAGTTTATTTTGATTTATTATTTTGACGTACACGTAAATTTATTCTTAAGGCATGATACATAAAAATGCATATAAAAGATAACTTTTATAATTAGGTAAGTACGTCATAAGAAATTTAAAAATAATATTACTTTATTAAGTATATTATGATTTTACTTAAATTATATTTAGTATTTATATTTTATGGTTATATAAATAGGTACCACTGTATCTATTTACTATTATTTATTAACAAAATGACAATACCGACAAATTATATATAATTACGAAGGCTATACATTCTTTACACAGTTAGCGAAACTCAACTGTTATTCATTACCTATATTAACTAATAAACTATGTAATTTATATAATTTTAACAAGCCATACTTATTAATTTTATATAATAGGTAGATAGTTATTTGTAGAAGAACGTAATATATACATTATTCTCATATACATATATATATATATATATTATTTATATATGTATTATATATTATATATTATATTTAGATATTATATTCACGAAAAAAGGTATAACATAATTTTGAAAAAAAATACTTACGTCGCAGATGAACACAAATCATTTTGTGAAATATAATACAGGTTTTTTAACGCTTCATACGTTAATTTTCTAGCTGCTTGGATAACATTATAAAATTCACTTGGGGAATCAGGGTTAAATTGTCCCTAGGAGAAAAGGTAAAAGATAAAATATTTATACACCAAATTAGATTTTACTTATTGCATACCTCACTCATTTCACATAAGTTTTTTATCAATTCAATGGTCTCCGTAACATCTGATGAATCCGGATTGCTAATGAGCTTGTGATTGTACAGCAAAGGTTGTCTGGACCTAATTTCATAAGCTAATCAAATAAAAACATTTGAATATAAATTAAAATGAACTCTGTTACATTTATTTAAATATAACATTAGTAATTATTGCAAATTCAAACAATTTATTATTTTGTGTAAAAATATAAATAAAATTATATTAATTATACAAATCAATTAGAGGTATGGCGTATAATATTAAAAGTCGTGGGTAATTATTTATAGAAAAATATTTTGCTCAAATATCATATAATTATAAATTTGACTAGGTACTTTATTAAGATTCACAGTGATGCTCATTTTATATTTTATTTATTTTTCAAATCAATTTTGTATTCACGTTGAATGCCTTTTAACATATTAATACCATTAAAATTTAAGRGTATGAGTGTATGACAAATAAAAATTGGATAATTCAGGCGATAAGATTTGAGAAGTGTCTTACTATTTGGATGAGAAATGTACATTGCATTTTCTTCTTTGATCAATACCATCGTCTGAAATATTTTTGTTCTTGCACTATTTGTTTCATTACTAGCAAACGGTTGAAATGAGTGTTTTTCTTGACAATCGATCTTTACAATAATATGATGATCGATGTGGTAAAAACAAACGAATAAAGATTTCATCGGAGACCATTTGTGGTATTTCTAAACAAATTTTAAATAAATGTCATACATAAAAAACATTATCCATAACTAATCAATAACAA